ATGAATATTGTTTTGATAATTTTTTATATAATATGATTGGGATTCGATTTGGTAATTGTTATTATTAATATATTCAAAACATTGATATATATCGTATATTAATCTGTTCTTGTTGAACTTTAAAGTAATATACTTGGAATCTATTTTTTTTTAATAATTTAATATTTTAATTTCCCTATTTATAAAAAAAGATTTAAGACACGGTGAAATTTGAAATGTATTTATAAATTCATCTTTTTTCAAGTAATTAATTAAAAAATGAATTCATGTTAGGTTTCGTATTATGTCTTTTAAAAACCATCCGATTAATTAACCAGCAAAACTCAAAACATTTGTTTGATTAATCAATGAAAATTTTAAAAAACAATACAATGTTTTGACTAAATAACAATTCAAAGAAATAAGACAAAGTTATATCTGATATATAACGTAATATTATATTTAATTTAAAATTATAATCGTTGCATAATTGACCTCTCAAATCCGGACACCCTACTAATCACATGACTCAATACTATCATATGGTTAAACTCATAAAAAATTTAATTGATTACCCACCCCCAGTTGCATCTTTCTCTATATTCACTTCCAGTTTCAGGTCTCAAAAAGCTTGTTTTATATTACCCTGAATTACTTAAATATGTTATTTTTGGCACATAAAGAAACATGTTTTTGAAATTTTTTTCTCTATATGTAAATACTAACATAAATACTATGCTATGGACAGACTAAAGAAAAGAATAAAACTTAGTCATTTTACTAAGAGAATGAATGATATTAAGGTTGAGAATGAGGATTCAGGAGATATATATGACAAATTCTTCAGAATTTATGATTCGAGAAAAGTTTTTGCAGTTGAATTTTTTGCATGGCTCCTTGCTCAAGGAATAGAATCAGTTAACGATCAAAGCACAAATAATTTTTTTCTCAAAGTTGACAAACTTAGAAATGATGTATGCTGGAATCTATATAAAAAGAGTTTGACGAAACTCGTAAGGTTATTTTTACTTTGTATTTTTATTTTATTATGATATCAATGATGAGTGAATATTAAATCAAATCAACATTGGCGAAGTGATTTACAAGTGGGAGCAAAGAACATTTTCTCATGCTGAGCTGCCCCTACTTAATCTCATTTTTATCGATGGCAAACGTGCTGCCAAATTTACCTGCAGAACTCGTTAAAACTAATGTTTATTACATGTGGGTGGGTTTGACTCACGCTTTGTGATTTGATATGTTTCTCCTTAAGAAAAATGTGTTTCTGAGAATGTCTTATTTCTTTAGTATAATTGTATTTTTATATAAGTAATTAATATTTTTCTTTATATTGAATTCAAGACGGATAGAAAAAAAGGCAACAGAAATGAACCATTGCTTATATAAATATGATAAAAAATGGTGATAAAAAACTTGTGTTGTATACTTTGGAAAGCTGATACAGATGACAAGCTTTGATAAATCTCTCGAGAAAGATTTATAAATAATATAAGGACTATCAGTGTCAGTACTTAGTTTTATTATTATTTATAATAATAGTATTACATTCTGGTATTGACATTGGTTTTTAACATTTAATAATTAAAAAAAATCAAAAGGATGCTTCAGAATGGATAGTCATGGATAAAAATAATACAAAAATTGATGTTGTTAAAGCAATTTGCAATAGTATTACTGAGGAAATGATAATGAATCTAGAGTATAATAATCCTTTATTATCATATGTGATTGATTTTTCAAACCTACCCAAAGAAATTAAAGATGCATTTGATGAGCAAGCGCTAATTGCAATGACAGCTCCACCAATAAAATTCTATCGAGATATGGATCCTTCTTCAGAAGAATATCTCGTATACTTGTATAAAAACCAACAAATGTGCGAAAAATTATTTCCACAAGTGAGTGATGCAAGTGCTTTATTTATGGAGCATTATTTTCTTTGGAAAGCATGCTGCAAACTGTGAGTGATAAATAAATAAAAATGAATATTATAAGTTCAGTTTTGTATTTTAATCAGTAAATTTCTTACAGATTTGAGATGTGGAAAAGCAATAATTTTAATAAAGATTTCATGACTACATTTAATGAAGGTACCTGGGAGCATTTCGTATTACATCCACTATTTGATATTTTGACATTAAGTCTAGATAAATGTATGTTATGCTGGTATGTACTAATGTATTTCTGCAACTAATAAAATGAATTTAAATGGGCTGTTGAATTATTGCAATTATTTAATAATCAAACATATTATATTATTTCTGTGTTTTCATGTGTTCAAACTTAAATTTAGGGGAGAAAGTACATCAAGTGCATCAAAATATCAGAAGATTGAAAATATAAAATTTGAGAAGGAAACCCGTGAACAGTTAGATCGAATAATGGCACCGTTTTTCATATCTTCACAAGCAAAGAAGGCAGATACCTGGATTGAAATGATGATTGCAAAAAATCTTCATAAGATTGTATTTGCTGAAACATCAGGGTCACCTTTTCAAGCCACATGTACTACTAAAAAGGTAAATAATGATAAATATAAACTAATTCGCTTTGGACATAACTCGAAAAATAAAATGCTTGATGACCTTATTGAGAAAAAGTGTATGTATTTATCTGATTGGAAGAACCTCTACAATGATCTTCGTAAAGCTGAATTGTTGCTGTTCCAAGCTTATAGTAAATCAGGCTCTAGATATCGAATTCCTATTTGCTTGATTTATAGTGTTGCTAAAATATATTTATTTCAATATTTTAGAAGCAAAGCTCAAAGCTCTTGTTTTGGATTGTCCAGCACACCCTTTTTGTTGCGTGAGAGAAGTATTTGACTTGGATATTCCATATAAGAAAGTGGCGATAGAAAGCATAGCGGGCTTTCTCTGTAATTGGTTAATTTTTGTAGATTATTTTGTGATTTTTATGAATTTTTATTGGTTAATGAAATTAGGTTTCGTGTAACCATATTAGTAATCAAAATCATAC